GGTCTTGTTTCCATTTTTTTGCAGATGGATATCCAATTATGCCACCACCATTTGTTAAAGAGACTGTCTTTTCCCCAACTGATGGACTTTGGGTCTTTGTCAAATATCGGCTGCTCATAAGTGGATGAATTTATGTCTGGATTCTCAATTCTGTTCCATTGGTCTATGTATCTATTGTACCAGTATCTGGCTGTTTTGCCTACCGTGGTGGTATAATAGGTTCTAAAATCAGGTAGTGTGAGGCCTCCCACTTTGTTTTTTGTTTTGAGTAATGCTTTAGAAAGTGAAATTTAGTATAATTTTTTTCAAATCATCTATTGGGAAGCATTTGTAAATACTGAAAAATGCAACTTGTCAAACATGAATAAATGGTAACCCAAGACAACACTTGTATTTTTGCACAATTTGCCTGGTGTCCTTATTGACACAAGGAATTGACAAACCAGTCTGTTTCCTGACTAAAATAAAAAGTACAATTCTAAACAAATTCAATTAAGGGGGGGGAAAAAAAAAAAAGTGTGTGTCCTCTTTCTTGAGAGCACTAATGTCTGAGGCATTCCTAAGTGATACCAGGGTGCAACTGGCATGTAATGGTAGAGACCAGGGTCACTGCTAAACATCTAAAATGTAGCAGACTGCCCCTACAACAAAGAACTACATGACTCAAAAAGGTCAACATTAAGAAAACCTGCTGAGACTGCAATTATGCAAGAGACACAAGAGCTTAAATACGGAATCAAGTAATCAAAATGTACTCTACACACTCTAGATTCAAGATCTGTTGTTATGTGCCCTCAAATAGATTTTCAAATCCTAGTAGCCTCATGTGACAGAACAGAACTGACCCATAAGGTTTTCTAGGCTGTAATCTTCACAGGAGCAGATCACCAGGTCTTTCTCCTATGGAGTTGCTAGGTGGGTTCAAACTGCCAACCTTTCAATTAGCAGCGGAGCGCTTAACTATTGTGATATCCTGTCATTTGACCAGCTGAATGAACTTCGGTAATTAAATAAACTCGTCTTAATTTTTTCAACTGTTTAAAAACAAAAAGTAAACAACTGAATCCAAAAAATCATTTATATCTCAAAGGGACTTTGTATTTGAGACAATCTATGTAGTTTAAATGCTTAGGGCTAGTTCCTGATATGGTGTTCTTGTAAACAGAAAAAACAGTATTTATATATTAAAATCCAAAATTGTCTAAATTCCTCAAGTTTGTCTATGGGATGACAAAAACACACACATGAAAACTTGAAATATAAAGTACAGCTAATTTTTGATTAGGCACCATTGAAATAATTCTGTTTATTGGCTCAATTAGGGCTCGGCTGAAATGTCTGAGCCATGAAATGTATAACATCAAACATTCAACATTTTCTTCAACCTAATTCCAATTCCCTAGCCCATTTAAAAAAAAGATAACTCTCCCACATTTTTCCCACAGTAAAACTTATGTACTTCCTGGCCTTTGAAAACCTGCCGACTCAGTAGTAGCAGTTCTCTGGATCTCCTGGCCACTGGTTCCATGGTTAGCAGTGAAGGACTCAGAATGCAACCACAGGTAGTCCCTGACTTACGATGTATTCAAGTTACAGCTAACAGTATCCAACCTTTTCTTTTTCTGTACATCCTATCGTAATATGTACTACATACAATGTTGCAGTGCATAATTTGCTGATGTTATCATTCTCAGATGTTCACTCGCAGATGTTCAATGTTACGATTTACTGTTCAAAACACTGACATATAACAGGCTATGGCCTGGTCTACATAGGTGTCAGTAGTTGTTAACACATAAAAACTTGGGTAATGTTCAACTCTAAACACATATGACAATTGAACTGAGCATGTTCTCGATTGCTGTTACAACTCCAACTTCATTGTTACAACACTGATGCTGACTTCACTGTAGACCAAGCCTATAGTGTGACCTTATTCGGCGTTTCATACCATCAGAAGCTTCAGTTAATTTGAAGCCAAGCTGTTCCTCTCTCATACTTTACCTGTACTGCTTGTATCTCAAATGCATTTAGCAAAATATCTCATGCCACTGTAAGTTCTAATCCAAAAAATAAAGTGAAGAAAGCTCTAGACATGGATATAAATATCATTAAAGCCTACGATAATGGAAAGAAAAGTTGGTGAAATAGCACGCAAGGAAAGACTGTCTCATTTGACCATTTTGACAATCATTAAGAATAGGATTTTAGAGGCAGTTAAAGGAGCGATTGGCATAAAACTGACAATTTTAACAAGGGAGAGGCAAGGACCAATCCATGACATGAAGAAGCTGTTGATTTGGATAAAAGATCAAATCCAGAAGAGGATTCCTATGAGTTTACTGAAGATTCAAACAAAAGCATGTAGCCTGTTTTGAAAAGCTGAAGGAACAGCAAGAAGGCTGCTGCAAATACTTAAATGCCACAAGGGCTGATTTCATCGCTTCAAGCACAAATTTGGCTTTGTGTATAACTAGAGAAGCAGGAAGTGCCAATGTTGAAGCTGCTGAAAAATTCATGGATGGGCTGGACAAAATACAAGATGAATTATCTACCAGAGCAGATTATGTAATGTTTTCCAATCTCCAAAGACAAATAAAGATCAGATTTATAAAGATACTGATAATAAAAAGCAATAATGAAAACTAAAAAAAAGCAAAGTATTCAACCAACATCAGAACCAACTTACAACAGAGTCATCGGAAAGGAACCCTGCCCTAAACCAGGGACTCCCTACCAATACTGAGACCACAAAGAGTAATAAACCGAAAACTCTTCACCAAAAAGAACAAGGCAAAAACCACTATTATACAACTACACACTCTTCAACATCAGCCAGTAACAGAAGTTTCCATTTTGCCAATGTCAGAGATGCCCGAGTATTCTTCCCAATCTACCTTTGTATGATTTCCAGTTCTATTTCTAGTCAAGTTACCAATGGCCTATTGACAAAATAAAGTGTTTTATTAAAGCAGCTTGAAGTCTTATTTTCAAATTATACTAATAAACAGAAACTCAAGAAATTCTTTAAACTCTAATAATTTCCTATACCCTAGCTATAAAGTTCAGAGCAGATTTCAGCATTTAATAAAGACACAAATCAAGATTCAGATATTTATTATTAAGTGTAAACCCCAACATGATACACCAACATGATTTCGTGCGCTTAGGGAAGAAATACATCCTGGTTAAGTGGGAAATTGTGCGGATGGCTTCTGGAAGACCTTCATTCTAAGCAGCTTTATAGGAAAACATTTCATTTAGAAGTCAGGGCCTTCTTTCTTCAGTTTGCTGTAATCCACATTCACTGAGTAGAACTTGAACAGAAAAAAAAGATAATTTAGATACTCTATCAAATATGGAAATGACACGTAAGTTTTAGAATTACTTTTATTTAGTTTTCTAGTAACAATTACAGACATGATTTTTCTATTATGAATACTTAACATCATAAAACTCATTCAAACAAAAACACTATACCAAAAATTCTAGTACTTTAATGATGGTTTTGATAAAGTAAAAATATTCAATCTACATCAGAAGAGCAGTGTTCAAATAGTCTGTTAGAATCTATAAATAATTCTTACATTTCAAAGTGAATAATAATTCTTTGTGATATATACCTCCAGTACTTTTAAGTTTTTACTTCCATCTCTACTAAGTATGCAAGTGACTCTATCAGGAGGAATACCCAGAATTACTATCCCTGTTTGGTTAGTTAACTGCTGTAATTTAGCTGGGAGAGATCTTGCAACCAAGAGAGGTTGATTACATAAGCTAATCCTTTGTTATGTGGTTTATTTAACTTTTCAGACACAAACTGGCTTACCTCAATGGCTTCTTTTTCTATTCTCTCTCTTTCACTTATAAGAAGCTTGATTAATTTCACGGTGGGCCTAATGCAGACTGCATCAATATCAAACTGAAATCTGACTACTTCTGGTACAACGCCTTTAAGTAATACTGTATTTTTTGCATGTTTAAAATTTCAAAAAAGTTCCTTATATTCAGCTGAATGACTTTTTAAAATAAACCTTACTATAATTGCTTTTAAAAATAATCTCCCTCTAATGCTCAGCAACTTTTTTTTTCTTAATGATTTATATTTGAAACTGCTCCAGAGTTTCTGCCGAGGAATTTCAGGATTTGTATGTAAGCCCAAATAAAAGTATAATCTTAGGTTTAGTCATTCTTGTGCCAAGGAACACCACAAGAAGTTGTGCTATAATTACTTTAAGACTGTATTATTTATCCTTCCCCCCTCCCGAAATTGTAGATTCATCAACATTTCTTCAGGGTTTTTAAGCAAGAAACCCACAAATTTGTATTCATTATTTTTTCAAACACCTTTATTTCTCAAAATATACCTCAATGGCTTATCTAGTTGATTCACTTCATTTTAAAAGAAAAATAATCAAGTTCTAAAATGTATTGCCAAGTTATTCTTGAAATATATACACAGAATTTTAAAGACAAAAAATTATGATTAAACCATAAAGTAGTATTCTTTATTGGCAGTATTAAGAAGCAAGAGAACCTAGACAATAAGATTTTAAAGAAACTAATTGTGCTATCCTCTAACGTGCTAACAAAATATTAGAAAGAATACTTATAGAAAGGTATGCAGTTTGTCTAGTAAGAAAATAAACATTTGTTGGGCTCTTCTGACAGATGCCAGATGTTACGCTAGATGTTTTTATGTGTATCTTAATTATTACAACAACTCTATTCATTTACTTTATAAGAAACAACTAAAGACCAAGTTACATGACTTGCCAAACCCTGAACTAATTAACAACCAGCAGGATCAAGCCTCTAAACTCATGCACTTTCCACTATACCAAGGTGCATTATCAAAAGAAAGAAAACCGCAATTTGCTTTTTAGCACTCTCTAGATGAGGTGCCAGGACCAAACTGTATGAGCGTTCAGAACCCCTTAGCAGATATACCTGCATGATGGAGATGGATGCTGTCACTGCTGATGACAGCAACTTTTAAGATAATTATCACCCTTTGCTGATTCCAAGCTTCCCAATCATTCTGATTATAATTTGGCTTCCAAATCCCTAAAGAGATCTGCCTGCAAGAATCAAATAAAAATGCACTGGCCAAGCTGAAACAAGCCATCTGATCTGCATGTTACATTTTTCCTCAAAAAATGATAAACAGGCATTCTGATTTCGGTTTCTCTCTTATAAATTTGTTTAAATAATTCTATTCCAGATAAAATGATTCCACACCCAAGGAACTTTAAAAAAGAAAACAAACAAAAACAGGCCTCGGTCCTTCTACCAAAGGGTGTACAGGAGTCACTGGGTATGTGTACTTTACAAAGCTCTCCAGATGATTCTGACAATGAAGTCAGTTCCCAATACCCTGGAGTATCATAGCACAAAAGAAGTGATGCCAGTATGAGGCCATGTGAATCAGAAATGGAATGTTATTACAATAAAAACCTAACATTGTGGCATAGACTGGGCTGTGAGTAGCTATGAAACAGGTATTAGAAGCTGGAAAGATGAAGAATCATGTTACATAATGGCAAAATATTTGATAATCTGTCATCCGGCACCAGGGTTTCCTGCTTATAACTTAGAGGGTAGATTACGTCCCTAAAGAGCCTGTAGCTGTAAGAAAAGACTGGAAAACAGATGTTAGTGGTGTGCATGTGGTTATTGCTGGCTGTGTTTGCCAAGGTATGAAAGACAGAACTGGGCAACTTGCAAGCAGAAATAAAAGGGAATCAAGTCCAGAATGACCAAGGCCAGCAACGTTCCAGTCCATCACTGCAGCTACTGTGCCAATCCCTCTCACTGAGGGTCTCTCACGCCCTCACTGGTCCTCTATTTCATCAAACATGATGCTCTCCTCCAACGACTGATCCCTTCTGATGATGTGCCCAAAGCAATTGAGTCGGACAATGTTCTGTTGTGATCCATAAGGTTTTCACTGGTTAACCTTTGGAAGTAGATCACCAGGCTTTTCTTCCTAGTCTGTCCTAGTCTGGAAGCTCTGCCGAAACCTGTCCACCATGGGTGACCTGTGCTGGTATTTGAAATATCGATGGCATAGCTTCCAACATCATAGCAACACACAAATCACCACAGTACGACAAACTGCCAGAAGAGTAATGAACTCAAGGTAGCCACCATTAATCCATGAAAAAGAATGGGGACAAAGAAGCCAAAAAATGGAGAAGTCAAAAAAATTACTTCTAGAGAAAATTTTGGGTATGATTACTGGCACATGGAGCTGACTGGCAAACGGAAAAGCAAATTTATCAGAAGCCTACTTAATTTTGAGGAAACAGCCAAAAATACCACGAGCCCGGAATTAAAGAAGTCTCTGACTACTAGAGTTAAAACCACCCTGGGGTCTCCAACCTCCCGGAAAGGAAACAAGCTTGAAGGCTCTACTTCCTCCAACAATGGCAGAACTAGATGTCACTGAACAATGGACATGTAACTTTTCAAAGAACAGAATCCAGGCCCGCTCAAGAAACCTCAACTATCTGCGGGGCAGCTTTCCCAATGTCTGCCCAATCGGATGTGCGGTCTCCTTTTCTTCCCCTTTTTGAATGATAATGTTTACTGCCAGTGCCTACACCATACCGCTTCTCCCCGCACTGTATATATGGCTGTGGGGAATCTGTCCTTTTAATTGACAAGTTCTCACACTAAAATGTACTATATCCCAACATGAGTCAACTGCACAACACCTGAAGCTTCTACACTCGAAACTGGATGGAACTTTGAGTTGTTTCCTTTGAGGAAGTGGGGTATTTCTTTCATGTATTGAAAGAATGAAATGGTACAGCCGCTAGAAGGGCAAATAAGATGACAAAGTAATGTTATTGTTCACCGTTTCCTTCTTCTAGGCACAGGGAAAAATTACATTTCCCTGCCTCCTGTGTAGTCACAGGGAGAGACACATGACTAAGTTCTGTCCAGTGGCATATGGGCAGAAGTAACAAAAGCCACTTCCAATCTTGGTCCTTAAAAATATCCTGCATGATCCTCCAGACCTCTCCACCTTGTGTCGATCTTATTCTAGAAGCCACATGTCCCAGATGGCAGAACTAAAAGATGGAAGAGGGCCTGACTCATACTGGACCTTGAGTAAGCTTTATTGTGTTTAAGACTAATCTATCTTGATTTCACATCAGCCCTATTATGCCCGAGCACTGTTTTCCTAATGAATGCCAATTATGTCGCAAACAAAAAAATTATAAATCTACATAAAATTATGGTCAAAATGATTTACTGTGCTTCAAAGGACACCAACAAAGTGAAAAGATAACCCATAAAATGGGAGACCTGTATCTAGGCTATATAAAAAATTATTACAGCTCAATAAAAAAAAGACAAATAACCCAATTAAAAAACAGGCAAAAGATCTAAATAGATATTTCTCCAAAGAAGATGACAAGTGACCAATAAGCACATGAAAAGATTCTCAACATCATTAGCCATAAGAAAGTGCTTATCAAAACCACAATGAGTTATCACTTCAAACTACTAGGATGGTTATAATCAAAAAGACAGATAATAGTAAGTGCTGAAAGGACGTTGGGAAATCTAACCTTCATACGCTGCTGGTGGAAATGGAAAATGGTACGACCACTTTGGAAAAGTCTGGCAGTTCCTCAAACAGTTAAACATAGAATTACTATACAATCCAGCAATTCTAGTGCTAGCAATTCTACTCTTAGGTATCTACCCAAGGGAAATGAAAATGTATGTCCACATAAAAACTTGTACATGAATTGTTTATAGCAACATTATTCATAACAGCCAAAAAGTAAAAAAACTCAAATGTCCATCAACTAATAAGTGGGTAAATAAAATGTGGTCTACCCCATACAATGGAATATTATAGAGCAATAAAAAAAATGAAGTATTAACATGCTACAATATAAATGAACCTTGAAAACATTACACTACACGAAATAAATGAGTCACAAAGGATCATATATTACATGATTCCATTTATATGAAATGCCCAAAACAGGCAAATCTATAGACAACGTAAACTGGTGGTTGCCTAGTGTTGGGGGTGATGGCTAAGAGGTGCAGGGTTTCTTTTTAGGGTAATGTAAATGTTCTAAAATTGATTGTGGTACTGGATATGCAACTCTATAAATACACTCAGTCACTGAATTACACACTTTAAATGGATGAATCGTATAGTGAATTATGTCTCAATAAAGCTGTTTTTTAAAAATAACATTACCAAGCACTCATATAACAAATATCATTTGCATTCCTTAGTGGAAATTACCACCAGAACAAATGCCTTTTTCCCAGCATTTCAAGGGCTAGGTCTTTGTATGCACAGAGATTTACACATAAGGAAGGTTATGTTTGGGGAATCAATGAATAGTCCCAATCCATGAAACCACTCCTTGGAAGGGTAGTTCCACAGACCACTCTTCAGGGAAGATGTTAAAAGGTATATCTAAAAGGTTCATGGTAAAATTTAAGTTTCAACTGACTTACATTTCTTCCTACAAATCCTCACCTGAAATATTTCAACAAAACCAACAAGATAGAAAACCAAACCATCCACACTAGGTTACTACTACTTAAAAGTCGACCAGTAGCATCAGCATCATCTGAAACCTTGTTGAAAATGCAAATTCTCAGGCCCCACAGCAGACCATCTGAATCAAAATCTTTGAGTGTGGAGCTGAAGAATCTGCTTTAAGAAGCTCTACAAGTGATGCCTATATACACTGAAATTTGAAAACCACTGTGCTAGACTATCTAAGAACTAAGAAAATGGGAAATGATAGCTATACCATCTCGCTTTTTCTCTTAGTCTAATCAGTAGAACTGAGACATTATCTTGATTTCACATTCAAGATCCAAAGACTGGGAATAAAACCTCTAGAAAAAAATATAATATGCCACTTTAATTTCACAGGACAAGCAAGCAGCCGCTCAAAGTTCATTATAGTGGAATTTTACTTGTATATTCAATTTCATGGAAAACTATCCCATGACAAAATTCATTAAAACATACTTTCCAGCAATTTTGAAGCTTACCTTATATTGATCATTGGGACCCAGTTTATTCCATGGTTCTGGGTTATTCTTTTTGTCCCAACTAAACAGAATAAAAGATTATCTTGTTATAGTAGTAAGACACTATTTAAAAGTGTTTTGTACTTTCTAAAAAGGTAACAGTTTGAAAAGATCAATCTCATTTTCTATGAGGTAGAGCAGGGTATAAATTTCATTATGGAGTTAAAACAGAGACAGAATCTATAATAACCAATCCCATGTAATCAATCAGAAAAAAAGATAGAACACAGAGCCTCCAGGGGCAGTTGTCCTTGCTCTATCTCTGTCACAGTATACTTTATACCCAGCCTTTACTAAAACTTCATTTCATCAACAAAATGAGATATAGCAAAATGCACAATATAATGAGAAATCAATCATCTCTTTGCCTTTGTTTTCCAACTGCAAAAAGACACATTTCCTACCATGGAAAAGCAGGCAAACAAAAAAAAAAATCAGCCACATCATTATTCTAGCAGTAGGAAAAATGAAAGAGAACTAACATCTGTTAAAACATTTACATGTGCCAGGAACCATGATTAAGTATTTTATAAAAACAATTGTTGTTATCTCAATCCTCACATTACAAAGCAGGTATTAGCAGTTCTACTTTATCAATGAGAAACAAGAATAGTAAGTAACAGCAGAACTGGGATCCGAACTTATTGCAAGACTATAAAACTCAGGTTCTACTACTTGATGTTACCTCCCTAGAAAGACTGTGCCTCCTAAACCAGCTTGATAAACCATCACCATTCTAAACATTTTTAAATACTTACCTGACATCTGGATTAAACACTGCCAGACGCAAGACATACAGTGCTGCTCCAGAACCTCCAGCTCCAATAAATATGAAAAGAGGTATCAACTAAAACCAAACACAAAACAGACAAGAATCAATAGCCATCTTCAAATACCTACGTTACTGGCAAAAGAGAGCTACAGTAATTTCTACACATTGATTCCCTAACCTCAAATTGCTATTTTGTGATCTTCTCTTAAAATCTTACACTGAGGCAAAATTTCTCATAACTGTGTTCAAAAGAAAGACATGGAATTCCCAAAACATTGTGAAAATGATTCTGGTTTAAGTGTCTGACCTTTAATGTGGAGCAAATTATATTCAAATTTCAAAATTCAAAAAAAGGTATCATATCTTATTCACCTCTCTATTTATACATCATTCTCATTAAATTTCCCAGCTTCTTTTATCTCTAGACTTGAAAACCAGGTTGCCTGCAAATTACTAAGGCCTTCCTCCATACGAATGTATGAAAAACAAAATTTGTGAAATTCGCAGTCCAAATAAGTAAACAGAACCACACCTATTACAAATACTGGCTTAAGGCATAATCTCTGAAAATGTATTGCTACCAATGTCTGCTACTATTTAGCGAATTGAGTTTTTAAAATAAAGATTAAAGACCACTTAATTGAGTTTTAGACCCACAACATGTTCTTGCGTTGGGGAAAAAAATGAGAGACACAAAATAACTTCATTGCAATTAAATTCTGAGCTACCAAACGCCTCAAAATGGCAGGACAAGACAAAATGAAGATTCCAAAATCATGGACCCCTCCCTCATATTTGCCATAAGGCCTAGTGCTGCAATGCGGTAAGTAAAAAATCCTAAGCGGCAGAACAACAGAGAACCTGATCTTGGCTGGTCTCTAACCCACACAGGGCACACCGATCCCTCTTGGCCCGACCAACCTGCAAGAGGGCGAGGCCACTAGATTGTTCCAACGTGCCCTAATTTATTTTCCTCGTAGTTGTCCATTACCTTCCGCCTCCCAGCCAAAATTCCTCAACGCATGGCGTGGACGGTCAGAGCTCAAGGGCCTCGGGTGAACGCGGAGGCCAGCACAAGGCAAGACAGGGTTCGCCCCGAGGAAACCTATGTGGCGGTGAAGAAAAAAGCTCCCCGGGGGGACGGAAGCAACCGCACACCGACACAATTTTAACATGTGAGGACAATAAGAGTCGCGAACTTACGCTCGGGTGCTTCTTGGCTTGACTGATGATCTGGCGGAGCATGTTTGCGGTAGACGCCTCAGGTGCGGAAAGAGAGAACAAACTTGGCAAACACGGAACCTAGCACTCAACGCAGCCTGTATCTGCGGGCATCCAAAGTCACCCAGTACCTCCTACCTGAAGGACCCCTGGCTCCGGGGGCAGCCTGCGGCAGGAGGACCCGGATGCGGGTGTCCTTAGAACTGCCTGCTATGATCCAGTTCCCCACGTGTCCGCCCTAACCTGGCCCGACCATCACTATTCCACTTCAAAGCGAAACACTGTTCATTCCTGTGCTATGTATATTTATGATGGGTAATCTGTTGCGTGGCAACTAGGACCTTTCGATTGACAAGACAGGCACTTTGCCGGTAGGCTACGCGTTGATGGCTAGGGTGGATGGGCGGGTGAGCGGACTGCGCGCTCCGGCAACTGGGGCCGCTCGCGCAGCGCCTGCAAACCGGGTCCGCGCGCTCAGGCGCTGGGGGCGCGCGTGCCGGGCGCGCGCCGGCCGGCCGTGACCGCCGCAGAGGGAGCTGCGCCGCGCTTCTGGCGGCCGAGCGCCAGGCGCCTGGAGGGTAGGTCGGGTCTCTCGCTGCTAAGGTCAGCGGCTGCGGTTTAAAAAGACTGCAGCTGCTTCCTGTCTTAGGCTGTCGCTAAGAACTAGTAAATGACTTAAAGATGGCAATGGCCCTGTCAGTGTTCTCTAATCCCTCAGTTCCTGGTCTTCGATGAAATGTTCATCGCTATGAAGACTTGTGCGACATGCCACCATTCCCTGCCCTTGGTCCCGAAATTGCCTTCTTAAAATGTATTTTCAACGGTCTTTTTCACTACCCCAATCCAATTTTCACTCTTCAATTTTCTTTTACTGAAAAGTCTTACGTGGGACAGGGTTTATGATAAGGCGCTGGAAACGACGGTAAACCTGACAATGTCCAATGTAAAGTATTCACCAAACGATCACACTTGGGAGTAGGAAGAGTAGGAGAAGGCTCCTCCAAAAAAATAAAAAGTAACAGTTATGCTAGATAGGCCCGGAAGAGACGAAGACATTAACCAGGTGAAAACGGAGGATGCTGGTGTACAGGGCATTTTGTACATGTGAAGGTCTGAAGTTAGACCTTTTGAGAAGCTAAGGGAGATCTGGTATAGCTGGACCTTGAAGAGAGAGCAAGCCAGGGATCAGACCTGCTGGGCCAATGAACATTTAAAAATCATGAGTTGTATGCAGAGAACATTGGGAAGTTAAGCTAACACATGATGTCTGGTTTTGAATGATTGCTTTGTCTAAAAAAGAATAGGTTCGAAGGGATAGCATGAAATGTGGGACCGTTTAAAGGTCTGTTGCAATAGTCCATGTGACAGATAATGCTAGCGTGGACTAGTGTAGGAAATGTGATGATTAAGAAAAGATTCCAAACATAGGACTTAGTGATTGCTGAAAGTGGGGGAAGTAATGTGAGGGAGAGTCGAGGACGATTTCAGAGGTTCAGTTTAGACAAGCTGTGTGGATGTTGATGCCATTTGTTTAGACAAGAAACACTAGAGAAGGTAGGTAAGTACCTATATAAAATGCAAATGGATTTCTGTGAGTTAGAAGAGAGATCTAGACGAAACAAAAAAAAAAAAAAAAACAACAAACCCATTGCTGTCGAGTCGAATTCCGACTCATAGCAACCCTCTAGGACAGAGTAGAACTGCCCCATGGGGTTTCCTAGGCTGTAATCTTTACAGAAGCCAACTGTCGCGTCTTTCTCCCTTGGAGCAGCTGGTGGGTTCAAACTGTCAACCTTTTGTTAGCCGAGCGCTGACATACTGTGCCACCAGGGCTCCTTAGATCTAGACTACCAATTGCCATCGAGTTGATTCTGACTCAGACTAGAGGAATAAATTTAGGACTCTGTTTATTGATGGAAATTGAAGCTTATGAAGACTGGTGTCTTTTCATTCATTCAGTAAATATTTATTAAGTACCTGCTCTGCAACAGGCACTGCTCTAGTCACTGGGAATATGGCCGTGAACAAGAAAATTGTTCTGCCCTAATGGAAGAGATGTGGCAGAGAGAAAGAGAACACAGCTCATGTTGGATTTTAAAGCTTCTGCTGGTACATAGAACATGTTACTTCTCATATCTCACTTGCTAATAAAGCAAGTCATTTCATCTCACAAGATGCTGGTTGGGGAAGACAAACAATAATTAAGATAATTTTAGATAATGACAAGCAAATAAAACAGTATAATGAGAGAGAATGACATGAGAGGGGTGAGGAATAAAGGTTTTCTTTAATCAGAGTGGACAGGAAAAGTCCCTCTGAGGAGGTAATATTTGAGATAAAACCTAAGTGAAAAGAAAGGCAAACTAGTGAAGATCTGGGGATAGAATATTCCAAATGGCAAGAAAAATGGTTTTGGGATAAAGTGCTCAAGGGAAGCCGGCGTGCCTGACCCAAAATACATCAGATGGGTGTTGTTGTTATTGTTAGGTGCCATCAAGTCAGTTTGGACTCATGGCGACCCTGTGTACAACAGAACGAAAAATTGCCCGGTCCTGCCCCAACCTCACAATCATTGTTATGCTTGAGCCCATGGTTGTAGCCACTGTGTCAATCCATCTCGTTGAGGACCTTCCTCTTTTTCGATGGCCTTCTACTTTACTGAGCGTGATGTCCTTCCCAGGGACTGGTCCCTCCTGATAACATGTCCAAAGTACGTGAGATGTAGTTTTGCCATCCCTGCTTCTAAGGAGCATTCTGGTTGTACTTCTTGCAAGGCACATTTGTTCATTCTTTTGGCAGTCCATGGTATATTCAATGTTCTTCACCAACACCACAATTCAAAGGGGTCAGTTCTTCAGTCTTCCTTATTCATCATCCAGCTTTCACATGCACGTGAGGTGATTGAAAACACCACGGCTTGGGTCAGGCACACCTTAGTCTTCAAGGTGACATCTTTACTTTTTAATACTTTAAAGAGGTCTTTTGCAGCAGATTTGCCCAGCACAATGTGTCTTTTTATTTCTTGACTGCTGCTCCCATGGGTGTTGATTGTGGAGCCAAGTAAAATGAAATCCTTGACAACTTCAATGTTTTCTTCATTTATCATGATGTTGCTTATTCATCCAGTTACGGGGATTTTTGTTTTCTTTATATTGAGGTGTAATCCATCCAGAACACTGTGGTCTTTGATCTTCATCAGTAAGTGCTTCAAGTCTTCTTCACTTTCAGCAAGCAAGGTTGTATCATCTCCATATTGCAGGTTGTAAATGAGTTTTCCTCCAATCCTGATGCCCCGTTCTTCTTCATATAGTCCAGCTTCTCGAATTATTTGTTCAGCATACAGATTGAATAAGCATGGTGAAAGGATACAACCCTGACGCACATCTTTCCTGACTTTAAACTACACAATAACCCCTCGTTCTGTTCAAATGACTGCCTCTTGATCTATGTGTAGGTTCCTCATGAGCACAATTAAGTGTTCTGGAATTCCCGTTCTTCACAGTATTATCCATAATTTGTTATGATCCACACAGTCAAATACCTTTGCATAGTCAATAAAACACAAGTAAACATCTTTCTTGAATTCAGTTTTCAGCCAACATCCATCTGCTATCAGCAATGTTATCCCTGGTTTCACGTCCTCTTCTGAATCTGGCTTGAATTTCTGGCAGTTCCCTGTCGATATACTGCTGCAGCTGCTTTCCAGTGGTCTTCAGCAAAATTTTACTTGCACGTGATATTAATGATACTGTTTGATAATTTTCGCATTTGGTTGGATCACCTTTCTTGGGAATAGGCATACACATGGATCTTTTCCAGTCAGTTGGCCAGGTAGCTGTCTTCCAAATTTCTTGGCATAGACGAGTGAGTACTTCCAGAGCTGCATCTGTTTGTTGAAACATCTCAGTTGGTATTCCATCAATTCCTGGAGGCTTGTTTTTCGCCAGTGCTTTCAGTGCAGCTTGGACGTCTTCCCTTGGTACCATTGGTTCCTGATCATATGCTATCTCCTGAAATGGCTGAATGTTGACCAGTTCTTTTTGGTATGATGACTCTGTGTAGTCTTTCCTGCATCATTTAATATTTTCCCTGTAGAATCCTTTGGTATTGCAACTCAAGGCTTGAATTTTTTCTTCAGTTCTTTCAGCTTCAGAAATGCCCAGCATGTTCTTCCCTTTTGGTTTTCTATCTCCAGGTCTTTGCACATGTTGTTGTAATACGTTACTTTGAGATGATGAGATGGATAGCAGAGGAAAATGAGATCATATACTATGGTAAATGTAAAATGGCAAGCAAAGACTTTGTTAGCAGCCTGTGTCAGTCACTATTGGCTATAGTTGACAAGATAGTATAATAAAGAGATAGACTCAGAAAATAATTGGCCAGTTTGCAATCTATAATGACAGGAAGTTATGCATCTAGAAGTTTGGAGACTTGTATAGTTGGAAGATGCAACTGATTCTCATCTTCAGCCTGTATAAGATAAAAGTGAGGAGGCATTTGGCTATAAAGGTCAATTAAAATTCAGCCTCTAGGTAATGATCCAATAAAGAATGTGACATCACACCTATGTTAAGACATGTCAATAGACTGAGGTGTCTCCAGTAAATCCTTTCAACTGGACAATTTTAAAGTCTAAGGGCAAGGAGATAAGGGTGTGGCTCTCCCACCAAAAGCTGATGTGGTCCAAAAAAAAACACTAAACCGATTGCAGTCCAGTCCATTCCTACTCATAGCAACCTATAAGACAGAGTAGAACTGCCCCATAGGGTTTCCAAGGCTGTAAATCTTTACAAAAGCAAACTGACACATCTTTCTCCTGGGTAGCAGCTGGTGGGTTCAAACTGCCAACCTTTTGGTTAGCAGCTGAGTGCTTAACCACTGTGTCACCAGGGCTCCCGAAATTAAGTGTAGAGAAAGAAAGAAGTGTGTCTCAGAAAAAATTGTGGGTGTGGCCATTGGTGCATGAAGATGACCAGATTAAATACTGTTAAAATAATTAGCCTAGATTAAAGACATTACAGCTGTTTCAGATGTGAAGTGATTCTTGGGCTCTTCAATCTTCTGGAGGTGAGAAACAGATGGTAAGAAGTGCTTATCCTACAAGAAAGGCCTGTTCTCTAATAACACCCTCATTAGGTGGATCTAAGGCAACA